TCTAGACCTTCTTATTTCAAATTTGTTATAATTTCAGCATGTCAAAAGTTTAGTTTTCCACTTATTAGAATAAGGACATGCTGTGAACATGAATAGCCCAGAGCATGGGTGCATCTACTTACTCCAAGGCCCAGGAAATTACCAGTTGAACATGTACTACATTCAAATAATAAATACTACTCAACATTTAGAAATGTAATTTATTTTTGTAATAACAGTTTTTAGAAAATACATTAAATCTACATGATTGAAATAAAAAACACATATAAGTAACCAGGTTTAAATGTTAGTATATATTATTCTCATACAGACATACAAATCACATCTCTCCAAAAATGGGACCATACTGCACATATCATTGTATAACCTGTTTTCTTCACTTAACCGTAAGTCATAAATATTTTGCCATGTTGGTACCTATTTTTTTTCTGTAGCATTTACTTTTTAGAGAACAAAATATTACATCAATCCATAGATTATTTAACCAGTCCTCTACAAGAGTTCCATATACCTGACCTGCATTAGCAACTCTCCCCCCAAGGGTTCTACACACCTTATTTGCATAATCCCAGCCAGTAATTTACTGGGAGTTACAAGACCATGACTAGAAAGGCCATATAAAACAATTCATTGCAATGCACAGTCACTCAGCAGGGGAAGTGTGATGACAAAGGTCATATATCAGAAATCTTGGGTTCAAATCTCATTCCTGGCACTACCTGCCTAACCCTGGGCAGGTTACTTAACACAGCCTGAAAAACAAAGCCACAGCACACTCTCTCTCTCTGCTACCTTCCATGCTTTCACCTGGACCGCCCACTTGAAAGTACCTTTCTCAAGGCTTGCATCCTGACACCTGGCATGCCCATAACAGAAGATTGAAGCACACAGGTAAAGGTCTAAAGAAAACCAGAGGGCATTTTGTGTAATGCAAATGAGGAAACAGGCTATTTTATATTTTCTTCATACACTGAAAAGTCACTTAAAAATTGAGAAATAATCGATTTTCTAGATTGGCAAGTCTCTGAACAGTCTTCTTTAACAGCAAATATGTTGTTGTTGTTGTTGTTATGTGCCATCGAGTCAGACCTGACTCATAGTGACCCCTCCTTGGGTTTCCAAGGCAGTATCACTACAGAAGTAGATTGCCCAAGCTTCCTTCCGAGGAGCGGCTGGTGTATTTGAACCTCTACCCTTCTGGTACTTAGGCACTATGCTACCAGAGCTCCCACAGCAAATATAAGTTTTATAAAATTATTTTCAGATATTTCATTTTGCATGATGATGTTTAAGGTTTGTGTATTAGTTACCTCTAGTGCCACTCTAACAGAAACACCACAAGTGGCTGGTCTTGACAGAGGTTTATTCTCTTACAATACAGGAGGCTAGAACTCCGAGTTCAAGTGCCACCTCTAAGGGCTAGGTGAAAGCACTATGACCTTAGGTTTCAGCTCTGCCTCTTGCTCCCAGACCACTGGAGCTAGAGGTGTCTCTTCACTCAGGCAGCTGCTGGCTGCTGAGGCTAACAAGCCCAAGGTCAACAAGGAAAATGGCACAGTCTCAATATTACCAAACAACATGGCAGGCCACTATTTCAAGTACAGAGACAATCCCAAGATCAGCAGGAAATGTGGCAGGTTGCTAAATTAAGACTCAGTTACATGCAGGGTCCAAGCATGCCAAAAAGCTGCAGACCATTCCCAAAACTGCTGCTTACATACTGGAAGCAGACCATATCACTACGGCAGCTTAGCTACTCCAGTAGATTCCACGATGGAGCTGATTGCCAGTCTCATCATGGGGAATAACTACTAGCAGCTGCCCAAAACCAAACCAAAAACCAAACCCACTGCCATTGAGTTGATTCCAACTCATAGTGACCTCCATCAGGTTTCTGAAGCGGTAAATCTTAACAGAAGTAGAGTGCCCAGTCTTCCTCCCATGGAGTGGCTGGTAGGTTTGAACCGCCAACCTTCTGATTAGCAGTCAAATGCCTTAGGCACTGTACCACCACAACCAGCTGCTCAGCCACTCAAAACCAGGCCCAGCAAGTTGAAACATAACCTCAACTACCACAATTCTACCCCTTGTCAGCTTGGCATCCATACACTTCTTCACTGGAGGCTCTAGTCCCCTAGTTCATTTGAATGACAATCTCACCCTCTTGGCCTGGCAGGCCACATTCCTCTACCTCTTAGGCATGACAGCCCTTCCCCCTCACTTTAGGGCAGTGACTGTGGCCCCATCCCACAAGCCCACATGAACAAGCAGCCCCACACTCCAGAACCAAGTTGGCAAATGTCTGACTCTTTGAAACATAGGGGGCTGTGGTGGTTCCACTCTCAGATACCATGGTTTTACCCTTTGAGGCGAGGCAGCTCTGCTTCCTGTTTCTTTGGTCTCTCTGCTTCTGCCAATTAATGCCTGAAAGCAACCCACTCTACCAGGTATCTTCCTGCCCAAAGGACACTTAGCTTTCTTGCTCCATGGGCTGGCCACCCTGCTACTCCATTTCATGGCAGTCTCTTCTACCAATTAATGTCTGAAGGCAACACACTCTGCCAGGAAGCCGCCTACCCAATGGCATCCAGCTTTCTCCTCTGTGTGCTGGTAAGCCTGTTGCTGTCTCCTGCTGGTGTTCAGCTCTGCTGCTGCTATCTCTCTGCAGGGGTCTCAGGTCAAGGATGCACTCCACTCCTATTTCCACATTTTAGGTATCTGTTGGAGCAGCACCCAACTCTCTTGGTACTATATTTTGTTTTGGATACTTCATGCTGCTCTAACAGAAAATACCACAAATTAATGGCTTGAACAAACAAGGGTTTACTCTCTTACAATTTAGGAGGCTAGAAGTCCGAGTTCAAGTGCCACCTCCAGGGCTAAGTGAAAGACCCTTCACCCTGGCTGCAGCTCTGCCTCTTGCTCCCCTGGAACTAGAGGTATCTCTTCACTCAGGCAGCTGCTAGATGCTGAGGGTAGCATTCCCAAGGTGGAAAAATAAAAAGGCACAGTCCCAATATTATCAAACAACATGGCAGGCCACTAATTCAAGTCCAGAGACAGTCCCAAGATCAGCAGGAAACATGGCAGGCTGCTAAATGAATACTCAGCTACATGTAAGGTCCAAGCATGCCAAAAAGCTGCAGACCATTCCCAAAGCTGCTGCTTATATACTGGATGCAGACCACAACCATAATGCAGTTACTCAGCTGCTCCAGTAGATTCCATCATGGAGTTGACTGCCAGTCTCATCATGGGGAATGACTACAACCAGCTGCCTAGCCACTCAAAACCAGGCCCAGCCGAGTTGACACATAACCTTAACTACCACAGTTTGTAACAGCAGCTAGAATTAATTGTTATAAGCCAAAGAGAGGAAAGAGGATTTAAATAAATAAAATTACATTCTCTGATTTTTTAATTTAAATTGCACAAAATACTACAGCCCATTTAAACTAACATTATAAACATTCAAACACATTGGTTTTACCAAATATGAAAAAGTTGTAAAAGATGTTTTTTTTTAAATTTTTGATTTCCCATTTCTGCATCTTATCTTAAATAATTGCTTTAAGTTTCACCTTTGTTATATAAAGTTAAAATAACGTTTATGATGTTCACCTCCATAGGACATATGAAATTTAATTATTATGGGAAAGATGATGGAATATGCTTAAAGGAGAATGAGAAAGCCTATCTATCCATAACTAAATCACCTTTGGTAAATAAACAAAAAATACAGTCTCACCAGTTAGGAGAGATAATTTAGAAATTTTTGTTGATTTAGAATTGATGTCTCTAAAGAAAAATACATTGGTATTATAACAGACCCAATATACCAGGGGGAAAGGAATTTAAAACTAAAACTGACCCCAGAGTAAAATTGAGAAGAGATGCAGGATGAATCTCCTGGACTGACTACCATGTGTCCACACTGGCCAGATCTCAAGACATCAAGAAAAGAAAGGACTCTAGTCTATGCAGGTTGGGACAAAGGCTCCAACACAGAGCCTCTGAGATATTCCACACCTCTAAATAACTACCATGACAACACAACAGGAGGCCCATCCTTTCTACTACCAGACTCCATAAATCAGAACAAGGAGAGGTGAGTGCAGTTAGTGTAAGTGTTTCAGTCCTGCTTAACACAGGATGAAAACTACCTGCTATAATAATATGCTGAGTAGGAGACCAAAACCAAACGTACTGCTCTCACATTGATGCCAACTCATATTGACCCTATAGGACAGAGTGAAATAGCCCCATAAGATTTCCAAGGCTGTAAATCTTTACAGAAGCAGACTGCCTCATCTTTCTCCTATGAAACACCTGGTGGGTTTGAGCCACTCACTTTTCAGGTAGTAGCCAAATGCTTTAACCACTGCACCATCAGAGATCCAGAGGTGAAGAACAAACAAACAAAAAATAACCAAACTCACTGCCATTGAGTCATTTCCAACTCATAGCCACCCCTCCTTGGTTTCTGAGGCAATATCTCTATGGAAGTAGATTGTCCTATCTTCCTTCCAAGGAGTAGCTGGTGGGTCTGCACCACCCACCTTCTGGTTAGCAGTCAAATGCCTTAGGCACTACACCACCAGAGATGGAGACAGTACCCTGAAAAAGAAGTACCGTGCTCAACAGACATGTTCTTATGAATTCTGTTACTTCACTGGGTCTAACTAAACACATTAAATTTTTACAGCTTCACCAATACAAATGAGGATTTAAAGTCCGGGCAAGTAAGTTCCAGCTTTTCTTTTCAATGTCTTATAAGCAAAACAAAACAGACATGAGAATAAGGATGTAATATAAAATAATGTTTATGCAGCTGTGTTTCATTAATTCAATTTTTAGTTAAAACATTATAGAAGGGGAAATAAATAAAGTGTGTATGACTTATGAAGAAAGAGAAAAAAAAAAAACTTAGAGCACATGAACCCATCACATCTTCCCATTATGGAAAGGTCTTTAAGCTCCCAAGACTGGAAAAGGTGGTGTTATGATAATGCTGGAATGAAATACTGAAGGGACACATCTTCATGAAGCAAATCAAAATGAACAATCCTTTTATCCACAATATCTGGGGAGAAAAAAACAACAATGTTATTACAAAGACCATGCCAGAACACGCACTTTTATCCATGCATATTAAAACAGATATTCATTCTGTACTTCCTTTGTTAAAGGCATTTCATCTTCCAAAGTATTTGGGCCCTTCAAAGGCAAATGAGTTATGGCTAAGTCTGCAGTCTCCACCTTCCAATATATCTTACAGCTGATGCTTCACAATGGATTTAGTTCAAACTGCTTACCTCCAGCAGACTATGAGGGAGAAGAATGAAATTGCTAGTGCTTTTGGTGAAAAACCCATCTATCAGGTTTCCTAGCAACCACATTGATCTGAATCAAGGTAATTCCAGGAAAAAGTAACTTTCCACTGGTGAGCAACAATAAATAACAGTAAATGTACTAGGAAAAGTCAGAATGTCCAAGATTTTACCTAATATCTGTGACAGATTTAGCTACATGCTGATAGGAGAGCAGCATTTTAATTGGCCAGTCCACTATTTCAATCTGCAAAGTGATGTGAAAGCTCAAAGTGAGGCACTGTGCTTAGTGAGCACAGAGTATGGGGCATCTGCCTCTAGACCAAAGAGGGAAAAAAAAACATCAACCATGTGCAGGAGTGTAACATGCTCCTCTCCTTCAAAGAATACAGGGAGGTCAAGGAAAAGAAATGGCACACAGCAGGGAGCAGGACTGTCACACAAGGTGTAGCAACCCAGGGTACAGCATTCATGGACTACACCCACTCTGAGAGTAGGGCCTAGCAGGAACCAGTAGGTGGAGTAACTCTCTAGCCATAAGGTAGTCAGCTTGCCACACATCCATTTCACATGGAAACAAGCCTGAGTGCCAGACCCAGAGCCAGGTGCTGACAAGCAACAGATGATGGAAAAGCAGACAAGCTATTTGCTGCAGAGACCCAATCACAGCGGATTCCAAGGTTGGGAAGAGGAAGTAAGGATGGGGATCACACACTTACAGGTAGAAAGTAGCCTTCTTTAGGAGATGGCTTATAAAAGGTGCATACAGCACAAAGGAGAGCTGGTTGATTCAATGGGGTAGAGACTGAAGGGCACCAGAGAAAGAGTCATGGAGAAGGGACTGCTGAGCTAACATCAAGAGGATGCTACTCACCAAGACAGAGCATACAAACAGAAAAGGTTTAAGGAAGACAGAAAATAAAGAAAGTTCAATGTGGGTCATTTTCCTAAAATGTTGTTATAGTTGTTTTATGCCGTCGAGTTGGACCCGACTCATAGAGCCCCTCCTTGGGTTTCCGAGGTGGTATCACTACAGGAGTAGATTGCCCAACCTTCCTTCCGAGGAGTGGCTGGGGGGTTTGAACCGCCAGCCTTCTGGTTAGCAGTCAAGTGCCTTAGGCACTACGCTACCAGAGCTCCCCTCCTAAAATGTTAGCTACCTCAAAATTTTATTCAGGTACAAATGACTCCGTCAACTACCTTTGCTGATTAAAAATCACGCTTTTCTGTCTTCTTAGTTAACCTTAGACTACCGTTCAAAACACATCACAAAATGGCATTTCAAGGCCTAAGGCAGTATGGAGAAGGGCCACTGTTCTCCTACTGCTACTCTACCACCTCCTCATTTCCCATTTCCCTGGTTTCCACATTATGCAGAGAGGATATTACTGATATGATAATGATTTTAATGATTACTTCTCAAAGAAGCTTATTAGAAATTCACACTCTGGGGCCCAGAGAGGTGTCTAGGAAGGCAACAAACCCGTGACTAACAATCTGCATTAACAAGTTCCTTGGGTGATTTATACACACATTCAAGTTTTGAGAAGTACTATCTAAAGCTTTTAAGGGCACTGCACTGGAGCATAGCTCCCACTACTCTCAGTCCTACAAGTATGGAGTACCAGTCTATGTCAAAGTTCCTGAAGGTACAGCAGTGGTGGACATGTGTACCTCTCCCCCAAGATTCCAGGATGTTCTCACTTTTTCTTCTCTCAGTGGTCTTCCGCTTCTCTAGCAGTATCTGCTACTATGCCCCATCACTCCGAGTGGCTTATCTAAGTTAACTAACACTCACTGCCCTGCCACTGCTGTCCCTTTTCTGGTCTCTTCTGTTCCTCATGGTGTCTGTCACTTGAAAGGGCTGCTCCTACCAGAGCCACCTTGAGTGCTCTTTCTGTTCTAAACAATGGACAGGAGGCACAGACAGTAATAAGCACATTCCCAATTGTCACTCTTCTCAGCTCTGACCACTGGTGGCCATATGCTCAACCAGGAAATTACCACACAAAAGGCCACAGTTTCTTTCAATTTGCTATCATTTTAACAGCAAGAATACAAAAGATACCTTAAAAAATTCTTGGCAAGTAACCCCTTTCTCACTTTAAGAGTGCTACAGCAGTGTGTGACCTAAGGAAGACATGACAAACCAGACTCATGCTAACCCTGTTAGAAATCAGCAGTCAGGAGGAAGAGTAGACATCAAGATCTGGGACAATCAGCCCACAGCAGGTTTTAGAAACAGAGAGAAAACAAAACATCACAACTAGAAACTTAAATCCAAACAAAATCCTATCAGGTACTCTGAGTAAAAGCACATTAACATGAAAAAAATGGGATTACAGACATGTTCTCTGACAGCTCCTCTCCAGGAACCCGATTCATGATAGCCAGTCAAGGTTGCCTGCCCTGCCCATCTACTTCAGTGTAGCCACAGGCTGTCAGAAGCAAACATAGTGCCAGAAGTTGTTTCTCTGCTGCTAAGCATTTTTACCTTCTATTTTTTTCTGACTAAAGGACAACTTGATTGTCTTAGAAAACTGGAATTCATTTAACAATTATTTTTTTGCATTTACCAGACTGTATACAATCCATTAGATTATAGTTGACTGAAGTAATTGAAATAAGAAAAAAGAACATAAAGATGTGGACTTACTGCATAAGGCCTTTGTAGGATTTACTTGTTGTCCAGCAAGAAACTGCAGAAGCTTCTTAATATCTATGCATACTTCAGCCATTTGTTCTGGGTTTCTATCTTGAGAAACACTTTCAGAGGCTAAAATGACACAAACATTTTTAAAAACATCATCATCAGATGTCAAACAAGGAACTCAGAGATGACATACTAACTCATGGTGGCATAGTGCCTAAGGCATTTGACTTCTAACCAGAAGGCTGGCGGTTCAAACCCACCAGCCATTCCTCAGAAGGAAGACTGGGCAATCTACTTCTGTAGTGATACCGCCTCAGAAACCCAAGGAGGGGTCGCTATGAGTTGGGCCCTACTTGACGGCAGTAAGTTTGTTTTTTAAATAGAAGATTTACGTAGTCACTGATTTTAGCATCCTGTAGAAACCCTGCAACTGTTTCATGTAGTTACTCATGAAGCCAGCACTTACCTATCATAATTATATATAAAATACTATGTTAATTTCAATGGGATGTTCACTTACAGTGATTTAAGATATGACCCCCCTTCAGGTCAAAAGAAAATTGTCTTTATTAGTATTCACTATATATTTGAAAGCTGAAATATATATAGCTATTCTAAGACTTTTCATTCAAAAGTGGAATAAAAGGAAGAAAACATCCTTTCAAGTTCTATGAAAGTACCATATATAAGACCTTCCTCGTATTTATTAAAAGAAAATGAGTAATACCAAAATAAGTCATTTCAAAGAAATTCAAAAGCCTTAATAATATGGATTTCACTTTGCTGGAACAGTACTTTCTTTAGTATAAAGTAAAAATAACTTGCAGCACTATTAAAATTTGTACTTATATTCAAGCAAACTTGTAGCACTAAATATTAATTCTGAAAGTGCCTGGGACCTATTATATCTATTTCAGAGCAAATGTGTATAATGAAATGATTTTCACATAATCAGCAAACACATTCTTTGTTGGCCTTTCCCCTCACTCCCCTGCTTGAGCCTCCTCTAACAGCTTTGCCCTCTGCAGCACAGGAGCCCAAGCCCCTCAGGGCTTTATAACTTACCAAATTACTCCAACATCTATCTACCTTTTACTGCTTACTGAACCAACTCAGCAGTCCCTCATTACAATGCATGAAATGAAAACTTATTTCTGATCAAGTGAGAAAACTTTGCATCTGCCAATCTAATTTTATAAGTATTAAAAGTTTCTACAGTACAAGAAAATAGGAAAAAATGTTAGTTTACCTTTCTGATTCCATTTTAGGTGAGAACTTGAAATCATTAGTAGCAGAAAGTGTACCTTAATCTCTAGAAGGAATCCTGAAGATTATTTAGCTTGAATCCTCATTTTATAGATGAGGAAAAAGATCTTGTGCCAGAGTCATTCGCTCCTTATTCCTAAGTAGTCCAACTTTTCTACTTTACCAGTGATCAGTAATTTAATCTCAATTCTTTATGTTCTCTCCTCAAGCATAAAACTAGTCAACAAAATTTCCATCTTTTTACATTTAGAGACAACCAAGTTTCCATCAATTTACATTTAAATAACATCAAAGTCATGTGAAACATTTCATTTATCCAAAGCAAAATACAACCCACTGCAAAACTTACCTAATGGGGGACATCCAAGATCTTTAAAATGAGTTGTAACACACACTAATTCAGTTTCTATTTTCAAGTTCAATTCTCCATTTAGGTTTGCTTCAATAATCTGCAAATTGATTGATTTACAGTCTTAAAAATTAAAAGAAAAAAGAAAGAACCCATGGACATCAGCTTTCACAAAGCTAGGTGACAAGGTTTCCTCACAAACAGCAAAATACAAGCAGGGAAAACCAAGGCTCCAACAATATCAAGGCCCACAAGGATCAGCTACATAGAAAAGTCTGAGAGCCAGAATCTCAAAACTTGCCAAAAATCCCTAAATGGAAAGGTGCCCCCAAGTGCAGAATGCAGTCAGTGTACAGATCTTAAAAAAATAGATGGAGACGGGAAGGGCCTTTGCAAAGAGGCTATGGCCAGGTGATAGGTTCAAGAGGCCTAGAGTTCCCTACCAGTACAGTACTGCAATGAGAACAATAAAGAGTAAAAACCTAGCCGTTCAGGTCTAGAATTGAACCCATACCTATGTCTTCCAGCCAAAGAAAAGACAGGCATATGAGGTGAACATTTACACTAGGTAGATACATTCCTTTGAGAGAAAACTCATGGGAGAATGGAAGGGCTGTGGATGCACAGGGAGACAGCTCAGAGGGCAGGAGTGCATGGAGGAATAGACACAGGGAAGAGATAACTATCGGGAGGAAGTGGGAGGGGAGCTGTTGCATTGTGGAAAACTGTAGTCAATGTCATGAGACAAAGTGTATATGAACTGCTGTATGGAAAGTGAATTTGCTCTGTAAACTTTCATCCAAATCACAAAAAAAAAGAATGCCAAAAAAAAAGGATTTTCTTATAACAGAATAAAAGAAAAATAAAAAAGGCAAAAACCTAGTAACTTACTACACAAAAACAATGTTCTACCTCCTAATTTGGTGAGTAGTGAGTGACTGGGGTCTTAAAAGCTTGCAAGTGGCCATATAAATGCAACAATTATTCTCTACTCCTCCAGAGCAAAGAAAATGAAGAAAACCAAAGACACATGGAAACAGTTAATCCAAGGGACTAGTGGATCATGCAAACCTCAACCTACATGACCCTGAGACCAGAAGAACCAGATAGTGAGCGGCTACCACTGATAACCACTCAGAAAGGGATCAAAATAGGAGATCCTGGATAGAGTGAGAGAAAACTGTGGAACAAAATTCAAAATCATAAAAAAAGACCAGGCTTACTGGTCTGATAGAGACTAATGAAATCTCTGAGATTATGGCTGCTAGTTACCTTCAGGCGTGGAAGTGAACTCACTCCTGTGGCTTCCAGCCAAACAACAGATACGATAAAGGCAGTACTTGCAAAGGGAAACAGCTCAGAGTGCACGAATGCATAGGAAAAAAAAAAAGACACAGGGAAAGGAGGAAGTAGGAAGACAGCTGTTACCTTATGGGGATTGCAATTAATGCCATGCAATAAAATGTGTATAAATTATTTTATGTAAAATGAATCTGCTCTGGAAATTTTCACCCAAATCACAATTAAAAAAAATTAATTTTAAAAAAAGTAAAAACTCAAATTGACTAGGATGGGACATGGGCAATAAAAAAATAATGAGGGCTTAGATACTAGTAGATGAGGAGAATGAGGAGACAGATCTCAGGGTGTACTGGAGAGAAGGTTATAGAAGAAGTTGTATTTTCCCATATTTTGTGGTTACAACAAAATAGAGGACCCTGGAGCTATGAACCACCATACTTCTGCCAGTTTGGCATACCATAGTGACTCCTGTGTTGTTATGATGCTGGAAGCTATACCACTAGTATTTAAAAAAAACAGCAGGTTCACCCAGGGCAGACAGATTTCAGTGAAGCTTCTGGACTAATGAAGACCAAGAAGAAAGGCTTGACAAACTACTTTCAAAACTTAGCCAATAAAAACCTATGGATCAGAACAGAACTCTGTCTGACTTGCTTGCTTTGGCCATGTCATCAGGAGGAATCAATTGTTGGAGGAAGACATAATGTTTAATGAAGTAAAGTGCCAACAAGGAGAAGGGAGTCACCAGGTAAGATGGACTGGTAAGAACAGCTGCAACATTGGAATTAAACTTGCTGGCAATTATGAGGCTGACACAGATGCAGTAATGTTTCACTCTGTTATACAGAAGGTCCACATAAGAAAGAGTCTATTCATTGGAAGCTAAGAACAACACCAGAATTAAATGCTAGGGCACTATTGTGGTCTACTCCCACACCTACAATGAAATTTGTTCCTAAAAAAACAGGACCAAACCATGTGTAACAATGCCAACAAAGGATGGCAGTTGGCCTCAAACAAAGATATTCTAAAGAAGAGTTAACAATGAGCTAGATAGCAGGCAATATATACAGTGAAGGTATGTCAGAAAAATACAACCACAAAGCAGATACAAAGTATAATCTGCTATCTCAAAATAAGCCAAAAGAAAATTAGAATAATAGAAACAATAAAAGAAAGGCATAAATCAGAATTAGGAGGCCCAGAAAAGAGAGACCCAGAGAGCATGTAGATACTACAAAAAAGAAGTGACAGAACTCAGGAAACAATTAGAAATGTAAGGAAATTTTTCAGAAATGGAACTAAACTACAAAAAAAAAAAAAAGAAAAGAAAAAAAAAAACCGAAGCAAACAGGTACTACAGAGTATACAGTGAGGAAAACTGTGAAGGAAAAGTGAAAATGAAAATACCATACAGAATCAAAGGTAATTTGAAAGAAAATAATAAATAATAAATAGTAATGAAGAAGATCCAACTCCAGTAGAAGTTCCACAAGGTGTGCTAAACCAGTTGGAAGGAATAAATACTAAAACTACAGTTCAGAAAACTTTCCTAAAAGAAAACAAGACTTGAATCTACATACTGAAAAGACACAGTGTTTACCTGAGAAAATCAACCCAAGTTGGCCAAAACCATTGAACTGTACAGAATAGGGAAAAACAAATCTTCTGAGCATCCAGTCTCCCATAACTCACCAAAAAAATTAATAAACCCAAGTTACTCACAAGTGAAAGAAAATCAAAAAGATTAAGTCTTTGGGACAGCACATCATATACCAGAAAACACTGGAGTACAAGAAAAGAAACTGTGAGCCAAAACTTTTATATCTAGACAAGCTGACATTATGCACATATGAAAGTAAAATACTTTTCCTATAAATTCTTCCTGAGGGATCTAGCAGAGATTAAGTTTCAGGCAACAAAACAACAACTGGAAAAGTTATAGCATAAACACAGATGTGAGCATCATTTTTACCTGTGAAGGCAAACTAAATGGTGGGAATTAAGGGGACAAATAGTGTATAATTATTTTATGCTCTGGAAATTGGAGGAGGATAAGAATAGAAAGGAAATTCCTCAAAATGATAAAGAGCATTTTATGAAAAACTAAGAGCTAACAAACATCATACTCTGAAGAGGATTCCCCCTAAGATCAGGAATAAAACAAGGATGCCCACTCTTACCACTTCTATTCAATATTGTACTGGAGTCCTAACCATAGTAATGAGACAAGAAATAAAAGGTATCCAAATTGGTAGGAAGAAGAAGCTATCTCTATTTGCAGATAACATGATCTTATATATAGAAGACCCCAAAAGAAATCCACAAGAAAGCTACCAGTGCTAATAAATGAATTCAACAAACTGGCAGGATACAAGGTGCAAAAACGGCGAGGAGGCCACATCTTCTGACCTCCTCTAACCCTACAAGAGGAAGACAGGATTACCAGCAGTAACCCAAGGCCTATTCCTGCCAGCCATACATGCTGCCCCCCTCCAGCCCTTTTACCAACTGTTCCTCCCGAAGCACCCACCACCTCTCTCCTGGGTTCTATAATTCGCTGCAGTGGCCACGCAGAACTCACAGATTACAGGGTTTATTAGGGAAGCACCAGGCTACAATTCAGGTTCAGGAAAAACGCTCAGTCTCCCTCCCAGCCCACAGTCTCTCAGCCAAGTCTCTCACAGTCTCTCCCTCAGCAGTGCATGTCCCTCGGTGCCTTACTCAGCAACACATGTCTCTTGCATCTCTTTCCCAGCAGCACGTGTCTCTTTCAGTAGCACGTGTCTCTTTTAGCAGCACTTCCTCAACCAGCAGTCAGAGAGATTCTGCCTCTAGGAGGCCTCTTTTTGAGCCCAGCAGGGTGGTCAAACTAGCCAATCATAGCATCAGAACTCTAAGCACTTGAGAGAGAGTGGGCACCTCCCAGAACATTGTTTTGTGCCACTCCCAACAGAAATACTCCAGGTGGACAACTTCAACAACCAGGAGCTCCTCAGTTGCTCATAGAAAATCCCACCTTGGAGTTTACAAAGCTATGGGTAGAAAAGCCACACTAAGTAATTTACTATACCACACAAGGTCAATATACAAAAGTCAGTCAGGTTTTTATACAACAGCAATGAGCAACCTTAAAAGGAAATTAAGAAAACAATTCCATTTACAATAGCATCCAAAAGAATAAAAAAGCTAAGAACAAATTTAACCAAGGAAGTGAAAGGCTTATTCACTGAAAACTACTGAAAGAAATAAAAAATGGCCTAAATAAATGGAAGGACAGTCTATGCTCAAGGATTGGAAGATTTCATATTGTAAAGTTGTTAATACTACATAAAGCAATTTATAGGTTCAATTCAGTATCTGTCAAAATTCCAACAGCCTTCTTTGCAGAAATGGAAATACCCAAATTTATATGGAATTATATGTACATATGGAATGTATATTAAATTATATAAATTAAATTATATAAACTGTAAGGGCCTTGAATGACCAAAGCAATCTAGAAAAATAACAAAGTTAGAAGAGCCATACTTCCCAATCTCAAAGCACATTACAAAGCTACAGTAATCAAAACAGTGTAACTCTAGTATAATAATAGGCATATAGATCAATGTAATAGAATTGAGACTTCAGAAATAAACGTGCATATCTACGGTCAAGTGATTTCTGACAAGAAATCCATTCAATGGTAAAAAAAAAAATATATATCTTTAACAAATGGTGCTGGGACAACTCTATTTCCACAAGCAAAAGAATGAACCTGGACCCATACCTCACACCATATATGCAAACTAGGTC